AACGATTTGTTAAAAAAAAGTTCGTAGAAATATATCCAATATTTGATACTAATGAGTGTCGTTTAGGGACGTGAAACGAATTTTTCAAAATATCGAATAGAAAAGATCTTGAAAGTTTTTTTATTTTCTGTACCTACAACAAATGAAGAGCGTTCTCTTGAAAAGAAAAAAAAACGAAAAATACGGTAGGTATTTAAATACGAAATGTAAACAGAACAAAGTTCATAAATGGAATTCTCATTTATCAAAGTCCTACTGGTGTGGGTTGCGTGGATATATAAAGATTGAGTGAAATATTCTGGCACTCATAAAAGCAAAATCTGAATTGGTAATCATTCTTTACTCTCAAAGAATAATATTCTTCTTAGATTAACGAGTTTGACTAAAGTACGAGATTTTTTTTTATTATTTTGCACACACAGCTATTTCTGTCAATTTTTGAAAATGTCATGGACAATCAGACGCACGAAATACAAATTTTATGCAGATGTAAAAAATATATTATTCATTTTGCAACAATTGTGAAAGTTTTCAAAATTTATTTTTGAATGTTTTCGAATAATTTACTTTTGGAAAACACGGGGAAATAAATATATATTTCAAGTGATTTTTCATAATCAAAATAATCAGGCCACGGATGTTATGACTTTTTTTTGACTTTTTTCGACTATTTTCAAATAATGCGACTTTTTCGACTTTTCTTCAAAATTTTGCGACAAAGCAAAATTTATTTTTGAAAAATTTTTCTAATTGAATTTTTGAAATATACAATTAAAAAGATTTTGAATAATTGAAATTTTGTAAAATTTAATTCAAAATAAATCAATTTTTCAAGTATTTTATTACAATTTTTGAAAATTAACTTCTACAGAATTTTCTTTGAAAATTTTGGAAATAATTGAATTTTTAAAAATTTTAATAAATAATCTTCAAATGTAAATTCAATAAAAATTAAAATTAATGAAAATTAGGTTCTAATAGAATAATATTCAAATAGTTTTGAAAAAAGTAATTTTCTGAATTATTTCGTTCTAATTTTTTTAAATTCAATTATTTTTAATACTTCCGAAAATTCAAATAATCATATTCAAATTGAATTCAATTCAATTTTTAATTAAAATTCTTCAAAAAATTAGTTTTTTTTTAAATTATACCAAAATTCTTTAATTATTTTCGAAAAATTACATTACAATATTTATAAAAAAAACTAATTCTTAGAATTGTTTTATCATAATTTTTTAAGATTCAATTACCTTCGAACAAAATAAATTAAAATTTTTTAAAATTTACTATTTTAGAATTTTTGAAAAATTATTTTTAATTGAAATTCTTTAAAAATTTGATTCCTTTTTAAAAATTTTTAAAAAATTCAATTATTTTTAAAAGATTACAAAATTTATGAAAAGAATTGAATTATTGCGCACTAATTTATAAAAATTTGTATAAATAATATTGAATTCCTTTGAAATTTTTATTATTTATGAAAATAATTGAATGCCAAAAAAGAATTTTATTATTTATGAAAATAATCGAAACCCTGTAAAAAAATTCATTATTTATGAAAAGAATTGAATTATTGCAATCAAATTTATAAAAATCTGTAAGGAATTGAATTCCTATTAAATTTATATTATTTATAAGAATAATTAAATTTTTGCGTAATTTTGGAAATTTTTTTTTAGATAGTTGATATTGAAAATCAATTTAATTATTATTTTCAAGAATTTTTAACTAAAATTCTTCTTAAAATCGATAATTTTTAATAATTTTTGAAAAAGTTCTTTGACAATTTTCAAATCCATTTGTTTACAATATTCAATTTTACGAAATTTCAATTATTCGTAAATTCTTCAATTACATATATATTAGAAAATAAAAACTTCAAATAATATAAAAAAATTCGCAATTAAACTTACTCAAAAAACATTTATTCCACAGAATTGTTAATTAAAAATATGAAAAATTCAAATTTTCAAAGATTTTAATCTGAAACCTCTTCAAAATTCAATTATTTCTCAAAATTTATAATTAAATTTATAATTAAATTTAATATTGAATTATAATCTAGACTTTTAACTGAAATCCATTTTTAAATAAATTTTTATGAAAAAATTATAATAGAATTCAATTAAATTAAAAATTTTAAATACAACAAAAAAAATTTATTGAATAATTGCATATCTCTTAAAATTGAATTCTCATAAAGAATTGTACCAATAAATTTTTAAATAATTGAATTCTTTTGACGAATTTTAATAAAATTTTTTAGAATAATTACATTTTTTCGAGGAATTCGATTAAAAATTAAAATTGTATTACAAAAAAATTAAATTTCTGCAATGAGTTTTATTATTTAAAATAATTGAATTTCTAATAAGAATTTTATTATGAACGAAAATAATTGAATCCCCGTAAAAATTTTATTATTTATGAAAATAATTGAATGTTTGCGAAGAAATTTTTAAAAAATATTTGTAAATAATGAAATTCCTGTGAAATCTTTATTATTTTTAAAAAATAATTAAAGATTTGCGTATATTTTTATTAATTTTTGAAAAATAATTGAATTCTTTTGGCAAATTTTTTTAAAATAGTAGATATTAAAAATCATTGTATTGAGGAAAATTTTTGAAAGTGTAGTCGACAATGTATAAATTGTTCTTCTACAAATTAATGGTATGTACTCTCAATGTACCTGGCCTCCGCCAGGTTGAGTCATGGGCCTTTACCCAGGATTTTGCGAAGTAGAGGGGTGCAGGTAAGACTTTGTAAACCTTCCACCCCCGAAAGATCGGCAGTACAAAATTAACCTTTTAAGAATAAACACTCTTTTTTTAAAATGAACACGAGCCTCTCCCAATTATTTAACGCCCTATCCATCCTACAAAAGTAATTGAAATTTTGCCATAGGAATTGTATTAAAATCTTTGAAAATAATTGAATTTTGGAGAAGAATTTTATTATTTTTAAAGATAATTTAAATTTTGACGAGTATATTTTTAAAAATTTTTAAACAGAATTGAATTTCTGCGAAGAATTTTTTAGCTTTTGAAAATAATTGAATTCCTACAATCATTTGTATTTTCTCTAAAATTCTCCAAATTGTATCGTACAATTTATGAATTTTTCGTTTTTTCTCAATCAATTTACAGACTTCACGGACCTTTTTTTTTTTTAAAAAAACGGACTTTTACGGACTTCAAGCAAAGTTACGGACTTTTACGGAATTTACGAACCTAGTTCGAGCCCTGCTATTTTTAATAGACTAAAGCGACTTTTTTTTCGTTAAAGTCGATCCAAGAACTGAATAATTTTTAATTATGAAAATTATATTTAACAGAACAATATTTTCATAACAAAATTTACTAACCAAAAATAGTAAAAGTTGATAAAAATGCAGAATTTTCGGGCATAGGCTTAACTTTTAGAAGATAGTAAAAATTACCACACATTTTTTCCCCTGTATGAAAATATGTGAAAAAAATTCCAAATAGGTAAGGGAGTATAATAATAATTTGCTTGGGAAGATAAATATTATTATTAATACGCGCAAGATTTTTGAAAGTATGCCCATATACCTTTTGGCTAGAGATGAGGGAGAATTTTTTTTTTTTTGATAAATTCCACGGATTTGAGTATTGTGGAATTCTCAATTAGTCAGTTATTCGAGGGTAAAATCGAAGTTGTCCGTCATGAGGCAAGGCCCTTGTGGTCGGTATTACATAAAGGAATAAAGGGTGTGTATGAAAATGGGGGTGAAAAGAGATTCCTGTGGTTACACGCAGTCACGATAGAAGTGGATGTTGAAACACCGCAAGACTCTTCTACTAGTGAGCTTGTGAGGTCTTTTTTAATTAAAGAGGGACCGCAAGTGCATTGACAGAGAGGAAGTTGGGAACGCTCTGTATATACGCACTTGCACACGTCTATCCGAAGGTTTCGTTGCCATAAGTCTTGTGCGTATTCGCCACTTAAGGCACTTCAAAGAGAGGAACCTCATACTGAAAAGAGACCGACGGCGAGTGGCGACTTTCCTCATCTCGTTAGGAGATGTGGCTTCCAGCTATTTATTTCCACCAATAAGTGCGAAATTGGCATATTTCTTTTTTTCCTTCTTATTTCGCATGAAGAAACTTGAGGAATTTTCAATTCTGTTTTCAACGTCGGTTTGCAATTTTCGCTCAACACTCTGACGGGAGATGTACATATTATACTCTTTTGGATGGCAGGGAAGAATATTTATCTTCATGTCAAGCTAATTTCGTAATTATTAATTAAGTTTCAGATGTTTGTGCAAATTCTTCTTCGTCTGAAGAATTTCTTTACTCTAAGGGAAAAAGTTTATTGAATGAAAGAAACCTTTCAATTGAATCTATTTGTTATGACAATGACAATAAAGTTCTGTTGATTCAAATAAAAGTTCAGTAAATTTTAACAGAGTTGCCCACATAAATTTAATTTCGTTTTTCCCTGATCATGAAAGAAAATTCGGTATAAGTGATCACTTCTCTAATAACTATAAGAGTTAGGTCTCGAAATCATAATGTATTTAAATTAAAATATAAAATTAATTGAAATTGATTTAAATCAAAATACAAAATTCATTTAAATTCAAATTGCTACTCCTTAATTAATTTGTAATCCACTAAAAATGTTAAAATTACATAAGGCAATCTGATATTAAATTTGTAAATCAAATTTCAGAAAATGAAACACAGAGCGACGTGAAACACAAAGGATATATATGATACAAAGAATTTATCCCCGTACATTTTATTTCGTTTACGAAACTTGAAGTAATAAAATGTAAAAAATGAAAAAAATATATGTTATTATTTGTGTCTGCAAAAATAGAAATTGAAGAAGTTCTTTGGCTTCTCCTTTTTAACAAAGTTATAAACAACAATAAACGACAATAATATTGAATTTAGAGAGGTACAAAATGAAATTCCATTAAATCAGAGAGGAAGACAAATTGTAAGGAAGTTGCATCTACTTACTGTGAAATCTTTTTCCTCTTGTGTCGAGCAATAGTTGCAGTCGATGAAGAGTGTCTCTTGTTGCTTTCTCATGTTTATCTCGAGCTCTTGCTTGTAGTCGCAATTCCATATCCGCCGAACAGCATACCTCGCCTCCACTACTTATTCCTCCACATGTCTTCAATTCCCTCGCTGAAAATTGCAAAACAAATGTTCATTAGTGACAAACATTTACCATTATTTTTTTTCGTATTTTATCATTTTCTCCTTTAATTTAATTACACTGAGAAAACAATAGGTTTTGAATCAAACATATGTTTGCTATACCTACAGTCAATCAGAAAATTATATTTTTCAGATTAAACATAATAAATTTGATTCAATAAAAATTACGTTTAACTCAATTATTATAAAATATGTTTAATTCAAACATATTACTACTTATGTCTGAATTTAAAAAAATTCTTTCTCAGTGTGAGATTAATTTTATTATTAATGTAAAATAATGTAAAATATTCCCCAGCAGATGAAAATGTGAAAAAAATAACAACTTAACAAACAATATATGCTAAAAAGAAAGAACATAAAAGAAAAACACGCGAGTAAATCTAGTGGTTTTTGTATAATACAAAGAGTTGTACTCTCGTGAATTCAAGACTTTCCCGCAAGTGTTTGCTGAAGGAATACTGTTGAATTTCAGGGCCAGGACGACGGTCGAGGAGTTCTGCAAATGTAATTCGATTCTCAGAAACAAGAAAGCGTTAGGTACTTCGTGATTGCAATTCAATATTTTTTCCACGTTCTGCGTAAACTATAAAATACTGATCATATTACGAAGGGAATCAAAATACATATAATATACACACACAGTACTTTGAAGAAGCGAGAGAGGGTGCGTTTTCTTGAAATAGACGCTCTTCTTGTTGCGCCTATACTTTTGTAATTTTCCATCATCCATGTGAATTTTATATAACTTTTCTCAGGAAATCCAATAATTCAATACTATATATATATATTTTACATGAAAAAAGAAGAAGAAGAAGAAGAAAAAATGTCATCTAAATATCTGTATATGTGTATATGCATTAAAAATACATTGAACAGGAAGCATATGTTCTTATGGTAATTAAATTTACTTCATAAAATGTTAGTGTTGCGCAAAACTAACAGCTTCTTCGAAGATCTTCACCCTCTGTTAACTTCTCCATTATCGTTACGGTGTGGTGAACTCTTGGATGAGGGTGCGATAACAATTACGTGTGCTTTTTGGATGGGATTTATTGAGCCTTGAAATAGAAAGAATTGACCTTCCTTTACTTCCCTTTTTTTAACATGCGATAAAATTCGGAAAATTTGTACGATAATAAAATGTAATTAAGATTTTAAATTTGGAATTATTAACATATTTTTCTTATTATATTTATTGTATTATATATTTATTTATTGTTATAAAAGAGGCTAAAGTTGGCAAAGTTTTTAAAAACGAAAAAATAATGCTAATAATTATTTTATTTTGGCTTCAAATTCATGTTATTGCGATGATCCACAAGTTTTCAACGGTCAAATGAACAAAATATTTTTTATTAATGATATTTTCATAAATTACTCATTAAATTAAAGTAATAAACGATGGAATTTTAGATAAAGAAATTTTAAGAATTAATTTTTTTGACAGAGGCTCAAAATTATTATAATAAATATTTGATTTGAAGAAGAAATAAATAAATTTCGTTCATTTGAACGTTCACAACTTAAGGAACTTATTTTTGAGTAATTTTCTTTTAAGTGTATAAAAATTAATTTCTTAACATACCCCTATGAAAATAAGAGATGAATTTCAATTGAAAAAAATTCTAATTTGATTTTTTGTTTTTTACTTAAAACGTTGCGAACTATAGCCTTTTATATATATTTATCGTCCTTTTTCTTAAAAAAAAATTATATTCTCGAAAATCTAAATATTTCTATGACACTTGAAAAAGAGTCGAATTTTCAAATAAAAAACAGAATTTTCATTTTTAAAAAACAGAATTATTTTACTATATGTTTATTTGATTAAATTTACATAAAATTATGTTCTACATATTTTACACAAAACTTTTATGATATATGCACTTTCAAAGCATTTATTTTGTTGTTCAAAAGCCTTTTAAAAAAAGAAAATATTCAATTTAACATTTAATTCTTTCTATTTCTAACAATAATTAAACTTACAGAAGAGATATTGAATTTACTTTAAATAATTTAATTTTATAAAATTAGCGTTTACAATTTACAAAGTTTTATTTATTGTTACTATGTAAATTACAAAATTTATTATTTTCAAAGATCAAATTCAATTCTTGAATAATTTCAAATTCAAAATTTCAAAAAGTGATTTATATTTAGTAATTAATTAATTATTATTATTAATCTTTACACGAATTCGATTATTTTCATAAATAGTAAAATTCTTCACTGATATTCAATTATTTTAAATACAATTTTGATTAAATTTGTCGAAAACGCATGAAAATGTCAATTAATTTCATAAACAATAAAATTCTTCACAGAGAAATTTTTTAATTATTTTCAAAAAATTGTATAAAAATCAAATTATTGTCAATACAGTTATAATTCAATTTCTCCAGAGAATTCAATTCTTTTTCAAATTTTAATAAATTCCTTGCAAAAATTCAATTATTTTTATAAATAATAAAAATCTTTATCCATATGAATTCAATTATTTTCATAAATAATAAAATTTTTTAGAGGAATTTTCAATTATTTTCAAAAAATTTTATAAAATTCTTTATAATAATTCAATTATTGTCAATACAATTATAATTCAATTACTGGAAAAAATTTAATTCTTTTTAAAATTTTAATAAATTTTTCACAAAAATTTAATTATTTAGAATATAATTTTAATAAAATATTTCGAATTCAAGTATTTTCAAAAATTTTAATAAAATTCTATGCAAGATTTAAATTATTTCATATTCAAAATTATAAAAAAGTTAGAAAAATTACAAAAAGTAATATAAAAAATTCAAAAGTTTTAAAATCGAAGTTTTAGAAAATTTGAATTTTAGTAAATTTTAACTAAAAATTCCAAAGATGTTTATTCAAAATGAACATTCTTTTGAAATTATTTAAATTTTTGAATACACATTTAATTGAAAAATTTTCAAATTGTTGAATTTTCATGAAATAATTCAGGTGAACTTTTTTTTCCATTGATAGAAATAATAATTTAAATTTTCAAGCAACTTTCTCAAAAATTATTGAAAATAATTGATTTAGAGAAGAATTTTAGTTAAAAATTCTAGAAAACAATTGAATTGAAATGTTGACGTAATTTTAGAGAAGATTTTCGAAAATAAAATTGCATACATTTTTTGTCTATACAATTATTTTTAGAGTGAAATAAAATATTTTTTAGGGTCAGGAAAAAAGTCAAAATTCTGTCTGGAAATAAGGGAAAAAATAAAATTCCAGGACCTTTTTATTATCCTGCTGAAAATATCACTTTTTATAATATAGTAAAATATTAAAATAGATTTAAAAAAAAGATAATTTATGAGTGAAAAGTTAGAGACAAAAAAATGATAATAATAGGTCAAAGAAAGAAATATATTTCACTTTTATTTTTCTTCAAATTTTCCTGGAATTATGACTGTAGCTCAACCGGCAATTAAAAGATCCCTAGTTTCCCATCCCCAGTAGTGTCAATCCCCCTTTTTTCGTAGTTTCATTTTTAATTTATTTTCTTGCGTATTTCAATTCGATATAAAAATGAATAAACTGAGAACTCGATGTTGTTGAAAATAATCCAAAAAATGTCAGTTTATCTTTAAATTTATTCTATAAATTTGAATTAGTAAAAATATTTACTAATTTGAATTAGAAACTCACTTTTTGGTTTTGAATTAGTAAATTTTACTAAAAAATTAGTAAAAATTACTATTTATTAATAAAATTTACTATTTCAAAAGCAAAAAGGCAGTTACTAATTCAGTAGTAATTTCTACTAAAAAATTTAATTACCAAATAGTAATTTCTACTAAAAAATTAAATTATTAAATAGTAATTTCGGCTAAAAAAATTTGATTACTAAATAGTAATTTCTAATTTCTACTAAAAAATTAAATTACTAAATAGTAATTTCTGCTAAAAAAATTTAATTACCAAATAGTAATTTCTACTAAAAAATTAAATTATTAAATAGTAATTTCTGCTAAAAAAATTTAATTACTAAATAGTAATTTCTAATTTCTACTAAAAAATTAAATTACTAAATAGTAATTTCTGATAAAAAATTAAATTAGTACATAGTAATTTCTACTAATTCATTAGTAAAATTTACTCGTTCAAAAGCAAAAAGCAAATGTTTTAAAATATTATGTTTAAATTTTCAATTAGACTAATTCGATATTTTTGACAATTTTTTTTCTCCTCAATAAGTGTATTTCTTTTGGACATACACCAGAAAAAAGTTGTTGGCAGTCATTAAGATATATATTTTCCACGGTAATTTACCTTACTGTTATTACCTTTTTTTTGAAGGGTTTTTGCGGAGAGGGGACTTAAAAGAGAACGCGAGAAAATAAATCGTCCCCTCGAAATGAATCATTACTTCTATATTGTGTTTGAAAGTTTTCAACAAAATTGGGATGAGAGACTTGAGACTTGAGTATATATACTTGGGTTGGAAAATGAAATTAGCTTAGACCGAGAAATTGGTAGATAAGCAATATAAACCTTCTTGAACCAATATCTTCAAGAGAGAGGGGAAGAATATTATTATACAAACCTGAAACCAATCACCGGATATTCGATATTATCTTTTCTATTTTATTATCATACATTATAATACGAAATTCTCATATTATAATTTTTATAATTTCTTCTATCAATTTTAAAATTTTTATTACAATTTTTAATTTCTATCATACATTTTGCAATTTTTTTAAATAAAAATCATGAAATTGATAAAAGAAATTATAAAAGTTATAATTTTTATAATTTATTTTATCAATTTCATGATTTTTATTATAATTTTAATTTCACTATTGAAAAATGAACTTTAATTGCATATACTGCAGTGGACTTAAAATTGCATGTACGCTATAATTATATGGAAAAACTTTAATTTAAAAAAAAACTTGTTAACTAATCCATGGAATTAAACTGAATTAAAAATTCGAGAG